GGCTGGGGTGGGAGTCAGATGCTTGCGGTGGTTTCTAGATTGTTTTATGGGAAAGGAACCCTCTCGCTGGGGCCTCGTGGGGTGGGCTCCTGTGGGCCCGGTTTCTGTCTCGGGAACAAATGGGTCGGACCTGGGAGGCCTGTGGTCCGAAGGGGGGTCTTTGCCCCAGGCAGGGAGCGGGAGCTGACGGACGGACGGGGGGCTGGGCGTTCCCTGCTGAGAGGGCTGCGTGGAGAGGAGGAGGGAGGCTGTTTTCTTGTAAAAAGCAGGTTTTTTCATGGGGCCTGCGTCGCAGGAGACAGCGGCAGGACTTGCCAAGACTCCCTCAGTTTTTTCTGTGCAAGGCACCACTCCAGGTGCCGTGGAAACAGGAGAGGACAGAAGACAAAGACGCCTGCCGTCATGGAAAAAGCCAAGGTCCTAAGGAGAATTACCGACCAATAGCAATGTCATGGAGCACCCATTAGTGTATTCTAAAGATATGCAAGTCATAGAGTTTATTTTCAGAGGCCCTTTATCTAGCTACACGAGCTGGTGGAGGACCAGACACACACACACATGTGCACACACACACACGCTCACATGCAGGTGTGCACACATAGCGACACACGCATGTATGTATGTGGAGACATGCATGTGTGTGCACACATGCACACGCTCATGTTCAGGTGTGTGCACATGCATCTACATGTACAGATACATGCACGTGTGTGACCGCACATGTGCGCACAGACACGCACTGTATGCACCCACATGCACACATCCCCTCCTCTCTGAAATCAATAAAAACATTTTTAAAAATACATTTTTTTTAATGTCACATCCATGGAATCAGACAGCATGTAGTATGTGGGATCTGGCTTACCTCGTACATGCTCTTAATATTCACCTGTGCTGGGTGGGTCATTGTGGGGTTTTATTGTTTTAATATAAATATATTTTTTATGGACGTCAGAGAGGAAGGGAGAGGGAGAGAGAGAGAGAGAAACATCCATGATGAGAGAGAATCACGGACCAGCTGCCTCCTGCAGGCCCCCCACGGGGGATGGAGCCCACAACCCGGGCCTGTGCCCCGACCGGGAATCGAACCCTGACCTCCTGGTTCATAGGTGGACGCTCGGCCCCTGAGCCGCGCCAGCCGGGCTGTTGTTTTAATTCCTAAAGTGTATTCCCCGGCGTCGGTTTGAAATGGACACGTCTTTGAGCCGTCCTCAGCCCTTAAAGGGCCAGGTGTGCGTCTGTCCCCACGAAACACCGTGGCCCTGAGCCTTCACCCCGGGCGGCCGTCACCCTGCCCCTCTCTCCGCAGGCCCCCAACCGCCAGCTCATGACCTACTGGCTGCAGGAGCTGCAGCAGAAGCGCTGGGAGTACTGCAACGGCCTGGACATGGTCAAGTGGGACGGCAGGACCTCCCCCACCCCCGGGGACCGCTCCCAGGGCCTGGTGGCCAGAGGCGCCCCAGGTGAGTCGGGGAAAGTGGGCGCAGAGGTCCCGGGCCCCGAGGAGCCCTGGTGCACGGCGGCTCCCCACACTCCCCGGGCTGCCACTCCCAGAGCCGGATGCAGGCCTGGAATGACCTTGGGGGTCGGGCAAGGTCAGGGCCTGGCCCTCCGCCCACCAGGAGGCACAGAGCCCACGCCATGTGGGTTGGACAGAGGTGCAGAGCCCACAGGGTGTGTATACATGGGGGGGGGG